ATAATAATGATAATAACTTTTGCTGCTACTATCACTAATTAACAATGATACAAAAATGCTATGCACTAATTACTAAAATAGTGCTAGCTAAATGCCCTATTTGGTATTTCTATAAATAAAAATATACTTATGAATTAACATACTATGTAATCAATGTAAGTATTACATAAATGTATGTATCTACATACACAAGTAAACTCATATGTATAAACGCATGAATGTACTGTATGTATGTACATAATCATGGGTGTGTGTATGTATGTATGTCATCAAAATTGAAAATGTTTCAATACCCTATGACTTTCAATAAATTTTTATGACTAAAGAATAACTGGTAACTCACCCTTTTATTTTTCTCATGCTTTCTCATGCTTTTCCCATGTTTTCTCATTTACTTTATGACTTTCAAAACGTGTATGATTTCATGTATGACATGTATGAATCAACACATTTTCTCACATCCAAGGGATGACAGCTTTACAAATGGTAAACATATAAAAGTTGTTTTTTTCCAAAAATGTAGAAAAGCTAAACAAATGTGCATAGATATGCCAGTTACAGGTAATAATTATCTGCAGAGACATTTCTTATAATCTTATTAGGACATATAACAAAGTATTACCATCGCAAAGTGATTAAGATGTGCTGACTTCACAAAATAATAATTATATGGCCCTAGTTCAATGAAAAATACATAAAATCTGAGAAATCACGTTTTCCATGTCTGGGAGATTTTCTGGCCACTGGAACTGGGCAATATTTGCAACACATTTGTAGCATCAATGAAAGAAAAGATTACAAGCAGAACAGTGACAATAGTAACAGAAACAGTAAAAAAAATGATTCCTCAAATAAATGTATTAGCAAGGATTAAATTTTCTTCAAGTTAATAAGATGAGTTGCTAATTACTATAGCTTGGATGAAAGTCTCAGTCCAGCAAGGTATCTCTAATATAGATGACCATACATATCTATGTATGTATGTACATATATACATTAGATGAATGTATATACATATATACATCATAGGTACAAATGTATGTATATAATCATAAATACATACATAAATGTATGTATCTATGAATATATAAATGTGTCTATACATATGTGTATACATCAATGCAGTTGCATAAAAAATAACTGCAAAAAATAAATATCTTCCTCTCAACCTTATATTTCCCTGAATGACTAGATTAAAAACTTCTTAAAGCAATTACATAGCTGTCTGATCTACTATAACTACTAAGCCTGGACGGATTGCAGGTAACTTCTATCACAAATCTCTCATTATACTAATACATCATTCAAAATTTCTGCATTATACTTCACTTTGTCTCTTTATAAAAATATCAATACTTATTTTCAGCATGTGGTTAAAGCTAAGTTCTGTAAAAACATATGCTAAATAAAATCATCATTGCCTCAAGGCACTAAGAAACATATCTTTGATATAAAAACTGCAAAAGACTAGAAACACATATGGTATATGAATATGGCAAAACAAGCCAAACAAACTTCTCATCATTCATTGGTGAGAAATAACAATATTTTGATCTGACACTCTTGACTAAGAAAAGGGTAAATTTCCTGGAAGATTACCCGATTTGGATAATTTTTGATGAAGACTACGATGTTTTGCTTCACTGACTTCAAGCCCAAGTATTCTGAAATGTAACAGTAATTTCATTATTGACAAATTGAAAATTTTAAATTTCTTAAATTTCATAGAGTATCTATTTTCTCAGAACATCTCCATATCAAAAAGAATGGAAAAAAAGAACATACATTATAAAGATAATAAAAACTAACACATAGAATAGAAACACAATATAAAATACACATATGTATTTGCTAAGCTCACACAACAACAATTCTCTTACTTATAGTCAGCAATGAGGGAAGTTATTGTGTCATCTTTTGCTGCTATTAATGTCCGCAAGTGACTGTTCTCCTTTGTGGAACGTTTCCATGCTGCCTTGGCTGCTTGCCGCCCACCCTCACACTCTGCCATCTTACTGCTCCAATTTATCCGTTCCTCCTGAATCAATGAAATAAGATATAACTAAAACAATACTTCTTCAGTTTTACTTGATGTCATAAGTCTCATATTGCTCCATGACCCCCTAGAAAGTTTACTCAGTGCAAATAAATCTCATTGTCACAAAACCCATTTACACACATTTCCGTACAAATAATAATAACAAAGATGTCAAGTGCATTTCATTACCTTCAGTTTCTGAGATAAGGCACCAACTGCAGCACTACGGAGGGTCAGTTCCTTAGAAAGCTCATCGGTTTCCTTCCTCTGTGTTGCTAAGGCCTCTAGCAGCTTCTCTCTGTCTTCCAATAGTTTGCTGAAGAGGTATAAAAATCAAAGTCTTACTATATTCATTAAACTGGTAATACAAAATCATATTAATAAAAAGAATAATAAAAAATATATATATATATACATATATATACATATATGTATATATATATATATATATATATATATATATATATATATATATATAATTTATTTATTTATTATTCTTATATATCTATATATATGTATATATGTGCTGTGTGTGTGTGCTTGTGTGTGTGCTGTGCTTGTGCGTGTGCTTGTGCATGTGCGTGTGTGTGCTTGTGTGTGTGTATGTACATGTGCTTGTGTGTGTGCGTCCGTGTATGCATGTGTGTTACACATATACATCACACATATACACTATACATATATAAGCCACATATTTCATCAATTTTATCAAACTCACCTACAAACTTCTGATAAGGATTTAAGTCTTGTCTGGGCAACACGTGCAGTCGTCTGTACAACTTGTAGAGCCTTTTCTCTACGTTTTACCCGACTCTCTGTTTTTCTAAAATAAAAGGTCATGACTATATTATATATATATATATATATATATATATATATATATATATATATATATATATATATATATATATATATATATATATGTATATGTATATGTATATGTATATATGTATATATATATATATATATATATATATATATATATAATATATATATATATATATATATATATATATATATATATATATATATATACATATTCAAATATGCACACATATGAATATACATATAAATGAATATAGATGAATATAAATAAAGACATAGACAGAGATATAAATAAGGATAGATAGATATACAGATAAAGAGATAGATATATATTGATAGATAGATATATATGGATAAATATATATTGATAGATGGATAGATAGATAGATATACAGATAAATAGATAGATAGATATACAGATAAATAGATAGATAGATATTGATAGATAGATAGATGGATAGATACACAAAGATATAGACTCAAACAAAATAATAAAAATACAAGAACTATACAAAACTGAGTTTATTATAAACATATAGGAAAGGATTTATGTCAATCTTTATATTCAACCACTTGGATCTGCCAGGGCCATGCAAAAATGTTTATGCTAAATATGTTGAGAAATACCTACTGGAGACCCGAATGCAGCAAATGTACGAGAAAAAGGCAAAACTTTTATTACATTAATCATACTTCGAATTCCATCATCTCTTCTCACCTCAGAGAGCCCTTTAGGCCTGAGACTTGAACACTTAGGTTGTGGACGTAAGCTGAGGAGTCTGTTAGCTTCTCGGCAAGATTCTGTTTCTCCTGCTTCACGGCTCGCATCTTCCCTTTCAGGTCTCCGGATTCTTCGGTATAGGTCTTACGTAATTTTTCAAACAGTCTGAAATAAAAAAATAAAAATCATGCATAAAGAGACAAGAGGTTATGCAACTCTGTTCAATAGTTTCAATATCAATATAAAAAATCATAACCATTATCTTTATAACCTATAATAATTTATTTCCTTTTCTTATTTCATCACCATTTTAAAATTAGTAGAATATCTAACCATTTTCTGTTTTTAATATTTCACTTAAATCAATTACACTCAGATTACTTTCACATTATACTTTTATTTCAATTCTAGTAATACTGACAGTTGGTCCAAACATAAATTTCCTTTTCACTATCAAATAAAACATTCCAGTATGACCAACATGGCACTAAATTTCCATCATCCAAATACAGAAACTTCAGGCTTTTTGTTTTTACCTTTGACATTCATCAACAGCTAACTGATGCTCCTCTTTTGAAACAGATTCCTGTAATTGTTGCTGAATTTTTTTGCACTGCCTCTCTAGCTGGCCAGCTTCTGTCCTCAGGGAATCTAGCTCTGAAGACAGAGTGGCCACTCTTGCTTCACTATCTTCAAGGTGCTGCTGTAGTTTTGCAACTGTAATTTTAGGGTAATGGTAGAAAGGTCATGTTAACTACTTGCATTTAATTGTAGTGTTTATATCAGGAACATATATATTTACATTTTGCTTCAAATTATCCAGTGATATCCAATGATTTTATCTCGCCTGATGTCAAAATCAGCTATACTCACCTTTCTGTTGATAACAAATAGACTCTTCTTGTTGCTGTTGATGGAGAGTGCGGACTTCTTGGAGTAGCAACTCACGTTCCTCTAACAAGAGCTTGGCATCTGCAGCAACCATTTCTGCTTCCTCTGATCCCATTGGTGCCTGAGAAAAAGAATATCATAAAAATCAAGAAATCATATTAGAGCACCAGTTTAAGATTTGGAACTAACTATTATGTAGGGTGTAATTCATCATACCATAAGGGAAGTGCCTGCATTACTCATGTATGCAGAGAAAGATAATGGCACAAATGGTCCATAACCTAAACATTTGGAATGAAAGTCTTCCAAATACTATACATAGAGAAATACACCATGAATATTTACTTTAAAGCATAATGACTTTACCTTTAAAAACATACATGCAGATATTAGACTCTTTACATATGCAATTCTGCAAATGAGTGATTTACTGGTGAAACAAACTTATTTCCTGTTCACTGTACTTTACCTGGAAATTAAATCCCACTCTTCTTGAAAGTCCTTTAACAGTAATCAAAAGAACATGCATTACTACTTATAGTTCTAGATAAGCAGTCAATGCTTTCCAATAATATGGAACTATACAACATATCATAAATGTAGAACTACACAGGCATATCCCTCCCTAAAACATATACAAACAGAGATAAATCTTGCTGTATGTTAGTTAAGTTACTCATTATTTGACTAGATATAATTGTAAATTCACACTTTTTCAAATCTATTTTATGACACTGTAACTGATCATTCATTAATTTTACCCTTTCTCCCACAGCAATTTCATCTTAACTTCATTTCTTCTTTATCTAACACTAAAACACAGATTATCTATGAAAAATACTTATAATTGCACCACTGTTTTTTACAAATCTAAGAAACAGCCATTATGGTGGAAATTAATAGTAGGATGTAATAGCTTTAAATACCTTACACTGAATATATCTAATTTCCACTTTCAACCTAATACTCACTTCCTGCTGCAACTTCTGAACACGTTGATGAAGTTTTTCATTCTCAGCTGTTACTGCATCAACATTTACCATTAACTTTTCAAATTTCTCCAAGTTGGATCTGAAAAAGGTAAGGTAATAACATATACATACACACATTATCAGGTTTAGAAAGATGCACAGTTAGATAGATAGATAGGGAAAAATGCACTTGCAAGACTAGCGATAACTGGCAATATGCTGTATTTTGAACAGGCAATTATATTTTGGAAAGGTACCACTAGATACATTGCCAGCTATTTTGGTACTTTTTTTTTTTTTTTTTTTTTTTTTTTTTTTAGCTTCCATAATCAGTAGTTTTCAATATGCAAGTCTACTAAGAAGCAAGACTACTGTGTTCATCACTCACTTTAGCGCTTCATCTCTTTCCAAAATAATCTCATCATAGGCAGTGAGGAGAGCACCCAACTTGTAGATGCTGTCATGACTCAAATCTTTCTTTGTGCTCCCTATGTTTTCTTCTCGTATTCGGCCGTACTTTAGGTGATATCTGAAAAAACGCACATGAATTAGGCAGACTGACAATAAAAATTGTATACTACAAGATATCTATCAGTTGAGCTTAAACCTATAAATCCTTTTCAAATCATTATCTCTCTACCATTTTTTAAGCATCCTATTCCATTCCAAAGAGAATAGCAGTTTGCATTAACAATATTAACCCATTGTCAGCAGGTACATGTTATGTCTACTGTAGCTTTGTCTTGAGTGACTTTTGTTTACACACAGACAGCTCAAACTGCAGTTACATCACTAAGAAGTCAATTAGTAAAATCCTCAGGATTTTTTTTCCAAGTATCAAGAATATTGTTACTATTATTACTGTTATTATTAAATTGTGCATCATCATTACCATTATCATTACCATGGCTATGGTCATTATCATTATCATAGATTTTGTAATTATTAACAATACTTACTGCAATGAAAATAAGATAAAGTTTGCTGAATTTCATTTGATGATTAAGTATTATTGGTACCATCTATGTGTACACTAAATTAATAAAATACAATTACAGTGGACATGACATGTATGTACATGCAATTTTCAGTGTCAATGGCTTTAATATTACCTATTTAATTGTTCATTTAGTCGTTTAATAACATCTTTTAGAACCTCCGTATCATTATTGCAATCTTTGATTTCTTGCTTTAGTTTTCCTATAAGCTTTGTATTCTCATTTTCTTTTTGCTGCAAAGCTTTCTCCACTGCACATTTTTCAGAATTCTGGGCTTCAATCTTGTTGGTCAGCTCTTGCACTTCCTTCTCGAGACTGGATATCTTGGCATCTTTGTTACTGGGCAATGCATTATCAGAACTTGCACCTGCAAAGTATGTAAAATGTTATGAAGTATTCACTTTGCTGATAAATAAAACATCTTGAACATAAATACTAGATGTAATTGTGAACTATACAGTCACATGTATAAATGAAGTTTAGCATACCATTCATCTGTAAAATTATACTTTTATTCATTACCTTGTTGTGAAACTCCACTTCTCTGTTGTGTTGTAAGCAACTGTGAAAGAATGTTGTATTCTCTGCTTAACTGCTCTAACCGCATTATCACAGCTCTTTCATCTGCCATTTTTTCCATTCACTGTCCCGCCTGCTGATGCTGCTGTAAGGAAAGGATTAATTAAAGTAGACATTGCAAATTGCCATTATTGTGGTAAATGAATAAACTGAATAAATCATAGTTGCTGCATGTTAATTCAAACCATTACTGACTTTCCTTTTCAAATCAGAAGATAGAAAAGATTTTTACATATTAATTGTGAAAAAATATAGCATAGTTATCGGTGATATTCTGGGTTACAAACACTGAGCCCACAAATCACAAAACACTCCTGTAAAAAAGCACACTATTCCAAATCACATTCCTAGGCAATAGTTCCGATATTATTTTACTAATCAAAATATATAGCTCTTTATTATTCAAAGAAATCAATATGTCTGAAAAAATGTTAGATCATTTAAAAACTGCCTGATAGGAAACAGGGAAAGCCACACCATAATGAAGTGTCCTCAACAATCAAAAAGTAGTAGACTTGATGCTGACTCGAATATAGATGAACATTAGAAGTTCCTATGTTCAGCAACTAATTTGTAGGACCAAGGTAGACAGGTATATTACCTGCTCCAAATTTAATTTACAAAAGAACTTTACAACATTTATGGTAGTTCAGGGTAACATGTTATTAGTTATATATCAAAATTCTAGATCACAAATACATTAAATAACAACAAAATTAAAGTACTTTATATGACTTGTCACTATTATCAGGATGGACAAACTTTTTAATGATAGTTACCTTTTCATATATAGTACATATTTTGCCTGCAGTTCCAGATATAAAATGTGTTTGAAAGCATGTTGATTGTCCAGAATATGGCAACTTCAGGATACAGAAAAATAAGCAATAGTACACAATAAAAGAATTAAAATAACACTTGTGCAAACTAGTTGGAGCAAATGAAGGTTAGCTTAATTACACCTTAAAGAAGATAACCACAGTGACACAACCAAGCACCAAAGGAAATGCCAATACCTATACAATGTATATTCTAGCAAGATTAAGACTAAAATCATTCCGAGAAAAAAAAAAATCATCAGGTATAAGGATCAGCCCAAGTTTTATCTTGACAGAATATATATGGTGGAGATCTGTTGGCCTTTTCTAGAGCATGAAACACAGCCAAGGGATCACCTGATGAGGATTTATTCTAGACAATTAAAACGTGTGGCAGTGAACCTCCAATCACCCTTCCTATATCATCAGGAATCACTCGTATTTCATAAATGTCCAAACTCATTTTCTATAAACATGTTGAAAATAACAATAAGATTTCTTTTTTACTCACGCTCTCTTAATTTTAGAATTATTGGAGATGACTAATGACCTAATTTAATGAAGATCTCCTTTCCTATTCCCTGGGGTTTTAGACTTTAGATTGTCAAATTAACACAACAAAACATTATGAACCAAAAATTACGTTACGAAATTAACATTCACATTATTTTCTTTCATTGGTCTGCAAAAATTGAATGATATATCATCTTCCATATTTCATAATCACGAAAAATAAGTAAATAATACAGATATTTACCACTTAACATGATACGAATCCAGCGTCACTGTCAAACTTGTAAACAAACAGACGACAATCCATCCACCGTTCGTGAATTCATATTCAGAATCCGCAAATTAAAAAGGCGTACGGTGTTTACAACTCTACATGTATAATCATTTATGTGTATATATCCTAGGTGTATTTTTCATACATGCATGCACGAACATTCTTACACACACACACACACAACACACACACACACACACACACACACACACACACACACACACACACACACCACACACACACACACACACACACACACACACACACACACACACACACACACACACACACATACATACACACACACACACGCACATACTAAATCGTATCATGTTTGCATATGCCTGACTGAACTTATAAAAGACAAACTTTGAAACAATAAAGTTAAAAACATAAAGGAGTATAGTTTTTTGCACCTTGAAAGTACACAGTAGGCAGTCTTTTATCGCAAATTTTAGCAGTTTTCCAGTGAGCGATATTATCACATTAGCCATGAACTGGAATTATAATGGGCACGGAACAGTTCCTTGAGAGACACCGCAAGATCGACTTCATTAAAGATATGATCAGTGACACAGCTAGGTGCCTAAGGGTCGAGGGTGCTGGGGTCCCTTATGGGGTCTTTTGAGGGTCACCTTCCCTTCGCTACGCCACTGGATATGTTAGTTACTCAAGCTCTCCAGAAGCGGAGGCCGACGAAGGATATTCATCTTGTCTTGTGAAATCCCAGGGAAATAATTTTCTTGACTGTGTGATGGATAATACCATTCTTAGGTTGGCAGCAGTAATTATCTCGTATCGTCTTTATGAATGAAGTGACGTAGTTGATTAAAAAATAAATGACTAAACAGAGGACGCTAGACCATTCTTTGGCTTTTTCGGTGACGGTCTGGACTGGAGGAAAGGAGTCTGTGCAGTTCTTAAGCATATTTTCTTTCAAGAATTTTGAACAAAACATGGGTGAGCGAGATGACCCTATTGCCCATATCAATAAGATCACAGAAGATGTCGTAACTGGTGTGGTCAGCTTTCGCATAATGTTGGGGGATTGTCGTCTCAGAGAGATTAACTTTGTGCAACTCTTTTCAAATGTTAATACACCTGGCATTGACTTTTGCTAGAGGGAGGCTAGGTATGCTGGTAACTCGGTATTTGCAAAGGAGATAGTATCTAAATAGTTTATATTTCCCTGGGTGGGAAATGTATTGGGCAAATTACCAGTACATTGATTTCATGAGGCATTCATGCATCGGTTGTCTAATACATATTAAAGTGTTAGGTGGGACTGTGTTATTTAATTAGCATTTCCGCTACAAGCTCCTGTGCATTTTGCTGCATGATTAGTTCCCTTGTGTGGATCCGAGCTTCAGAG